CCTGTCTCTGAGCTAACCACCCGCCTCTCTCATCTGCCATGCCTTGATGATCAATGATTACAAAGTTACTCAGGCAGGAGGTTGCCCATTTAAGACCCTGATGACTAAGGGTGATATCCCCAGCTCTGAACCTTCCTCTACACTGGGGCCCATGCCTTGCAGATAATATCCCAGTCAGCTAAGCTCACCTGTAATCTTTCACCCTCTATGACTGCAGTCCCCTCTCTGGGACCTTTGGACTCACTAGGCCCTGGCCTCACCTTTCCGGCCAGTTGGACTCCCAAGCCTCTTGCTCCAGGCATCCCTTGCTTGTGGGCCCCTGGCCCGTTTGAACCCCTCAGGTCCTGGCCCAAGTATAGGCCAGTTTGGGTGCCTCAAGCTAGGCTTGCCTTCTCTTAACCCTTGCAACTCCACTGAATCAAGTGAGTCTCAGGTCTTTCAAGGATCTTGCCAGCCTGGGCTTTCCCCAGCCAGGACTGTGTCGGGGCTGGAGGTTATCAGACGCCCCTACTTGCCATTCACCAGGGAGGTTCATGGTCCTGGCATTTCCTAGGGCTGCCGCACCACTGGCAGTCCCACCAGGCCTCCCTACCCTGGCAGGGTGCAGTTTTAGGTCATGCCTAGGACCTGGGGCCTCCTCTATCCCCAGAGCCCCAAGCCATATACCTCCAAGATGTTCCTGAGCTGCAGCTCAGTTAGCTGATATTTCTGTCATGGCGGCTAGCAGCAAACTGCTGCTTCACCCTGGGTCTCCAAATGGCCTGCTCCAGCCCTTAAAGTGGGAGGCACCAACAGTGCCCTGCCACAGTCCCCCTTCTGTCTGTACAGTAAGATGGAAATGCTAATATATGTGTCATGCAGGTGTTTTTACAACATCAGAAAAATGTTACTAGGGTCAGCACAAATTCTAATTTGTTTTTTCTTTACTGAAATAGTAGGTTTTTGACAAGTTTGTCATTTATATGCTTGTTTGCTGATTGATATTCAAATTATTAAAATAATGAAAGTCTGAGTTTGAGACTACACTAAAAATAATACAACATTCAAGGTCAGTACGGATTAGTAAGCCAATGCAGTGTAATGTTTCAATAAACAAAATGTCAGATTTATCTGTATTTTAATTGTTTGTAAGGGCTAAATAAGATTGTCAATGTTATCCAAAAATATTATTTAAAAAAGTATTTGCCTACTTGTTGTCAGATATTCAGCTCCACCATGTCCAATGGCAAGTTTAGCGGTTGTAAAGGGCTACACAGAATGCTAATTAAAGCCTCTGCTTAATGTTTTTGTGCAAGTTGTCCATTAAAAAAGAAATAACCTCTAAATTACCTGGTTACCTGTCAAACAAAAGGCACTCTACCCACATTTACCTTGCTTTTTTCAGTCCTCCCTTGTGGGGCCTACTCACAACAGCTTTCCAGAAAGCATAGCTTTCACCTTCCTATCTCTAGCACATTTATGTTCTTACTAAGGCAAACAGGCTCTCAGTGCAGGGATTTAGAGGCCTTTCTGCTAATTGCCAGCTTGTAAACTTAATTGGACTGCCTCCCTGGACACTGTTCCTAAATCAATTAGGCAATGAGTTGGCTGTCACCTCTTTTGCCCAAGCAGGTCACCTAGAAGCGTGCCACCTAAGAGAAGTCAAGCATCCATATGGGAGGACATTGACCTCTGCAGTTTAAAGTTATCGCACTTTAAAATTCATTCTGTTTGTTATTATAAAATTCTTTTTGTATGGAAGGCAAACTTTTCCGTTCCCCATCCCCCATAGTCCATCACGCAAGTCAGAATATAAAGTTCTCTCTTGCTGCTTTGTTATTTTAGTCTTCTCTCTTTTTCTCTCACTGATTGCAACCTAAGAGGCTGAAATAATGCACAGATTAGTCAGTCCTCATTGTTGAGATCAGCAGTTTTGGGACTCTGTTAATTAATAAATAATTCATACATAAACAAATTATATTGAAAATACAGTATAGGTGTGTGGCTGAGAAAACACAGACCTTCATCACTAAAAGCTTAAATTTGTCATTAATTCTCCACGGTGCACATGTGAAATGTAGCTTGTGTTCTGTATTAGGACACTTGTTACTATCAGAAATAGCTATAAACAAAAGATTTACTTTAAGATGCAGTTGAAGTCTGTGAGAATATGTATATACTTGAAATTAGGTTTATGCTTAAGAACATTATTGAATTAGGGCATGTAACAAGTATTTTCTTGTGTTTTGGCTCTAAGCATCCATAAATAGGGTACTGCCAGTGAACAGGTTTTTTGTACATGGTATGTTGGAATGAGCAGATCTATACAAAACATAAAAAGAATAAAAATTCAGAGCAGTGGTATAAACTCATCATGTTTGATCCTGTATATAAAGTAACCTGCTTTTTAAAGAGTAATTTACTCTTTAATAAATAAGATAATTTTTTCTATCTTTCTATGCATCTGAGTTTTGGCTCTGTACTTTATAACTGGATCCTGCACTGTGATTTTAACTTTTCTAGGCCCCAGGTGATCTTTGTGTTCAGGCTTGATCAAAGGAAGAATGCCAACATTCTCTAAGCTATTTTCCATAAAAAACAGTTAACAAACAATTTCAGAGAATTTAAACACATAGTTTTTAACTTCCTTTTTATGCTTTACCTATTTGGATAGCTTCCCTGAAGCTTCCACTACATTTTCAAGCATATTTCAGTCAGAACAGTAATCATTTCAAATTTGGCTCTAGAAAGACTGCCTATCATATTTTATAGTTTAATTAGCATTCAAATAAAAATATTTATCTTCTCATAACAATTAGCACCAAAATTACATACTTTGTGCAACACTGTAAAAACATGCTACCAGAACAATTAGATGTTATGACTAGCACAAATATAGATATACAAAAACATGTTTAACATAGCAATTAAAGTACCCAAAGGTTTCAGTAAATTCAAGTTTAAATATAATGCAGAAGGCAACCATCACTTTTTATGCTTAAAAATATGATTCTCTTCAGATAGATAAACCTTTTTGAAAGGCTGTGGAAGCATCAGCCATGAGTTACCAGATTTTCCAGGCCTGTTGTTTATCAGTGAGTTATGGTCATACCTGTTCCCAGCTTTCTTGCCGTCTTCCACTTCTTTGCTTGTACATACTACACCCATAATTATATTTTGCAGAACGTTTTATAAGATATAATTTCTGCATATTGGCTTTGTTTTTCTACATGGTCAGAAGGTTTTCTCTCAACCATTCTTTGTCTTTTGGTTGCAATTCTGAGACTCAATATTTCCCAGCATCCTTGTACATTTTTCTTAAGTTTGAAAGACAATTTCAGAACCCCTGCATAAGTATAAAGTCAACATCAATTGACTTTCTCCTTTAAATAGCTTTTATTGGCATTTTTCTTCTACCTAAGTAGATTTCAGAGTTCCTTTAGAAATACCCATATTTTCCTGCATGCTGTAGCCCCAAATAAGATACGCACCATGTTCTGGGGAAGGCAGAATGAAGAATAAAATCATTTTCCAGAGTTATGGCTGCATAAGGCAGGGACAGAGCCTAATCTTCAGCTCACTCACCCTCCCTTTCCTACACAGGCACAAGCTACAGTTTTAACCCTTTCACAGCTGAATTATCAACAGCTCTTTGTTGCTCAGGCAAAAGGTGAAACTGCAGGTGTTGCTGAAGACTGGATTCCATGGACAGACCTAAGATTTTGCAAAGAACAAAAAACAGTCTGAAGGGCTGTGAAATTGGAGGAGAGAGACCAGGAGTAACTAACAGCAAAATTGCTGAACAAAGGATAGCTTGATTAGCAGATCATCAAGACCATTATAAAGGAGAAAGGGTTAGTAAACCTTATGAAGTAAAAAGTAATTACCAGGAATCAGTAGAATCTAATGAGCTATGAAGTCAATTGATTCCCTTAGCAGTGCCTGAATAAAGATGCTTCTGCTGCTGGTAGGCAGTTTGTTTTTAAACTTTGGATGAAACAGAAATCAAAGCAGGGTATGACTACACCACTGCACATCCCCTGAATCTGCCACTGCTGGATTTTGCCTTTCTCTCCATGAATATATCACACTGGGGATAAGTTGCTGGAGGGAGAAGACAAGGAAAAGAAGTGACAGCCATCTTATAGCATGTTTATGCTTCTGTTCCATGCAGAAAATCAACCACCTTGCTTATGACACCCCCAATTTTTAGAACGCTAATTTTTAAGGAAAAGTGTGTGTGGTATCTGAATAAACACAGTGTATCAGCAGTAGGCAACCACTGGCAAGCATGCCAGAGCATGGCACTTATAGTTAATTCAGAGGAAAGTAAAACAACCCTGCAATAGTCTTAATTGCCATGCAATCAACTTTAATTGTTCAGATACTGTTCTTGAATTAACTCTTCTGTGTTGTTCTGAGTGCTCTGAATCTGTTCCAAGAACCAATGACTTACTTGAAAGATCAATTTGGATTTTTTTTACTTCATGCCATTGTGACATTTGATGTAAGTGCATGTGTACAGATGCATACTTTATATCAGTATATAAAAAACCTCACACGTTCATCCCCACACATACACACACACACACACACACACACACACACACACATATATACAATCAATGCCATTCTATGTCTCATGTACTAATACTTCCCTATCTGAAATATACTCCGTGAAGATAAATTTATTAATATATGTGAGGAGCTCAGATACTATAGAGATAACCATCTCAAAAGAGCCTATAAATTTACTGTTGAGTAGTTTTGTTGCTGATAAACATATACTACTTATGCACATGGTTGTATTTCACTGATGAGTTTTCTCCACAGTGTAAGACATAATGAGGCTAAACAATATGTGCTATGCAAACATACTTTTAAAAATATTTTAACATAAAGCCCACTTATTTATTAAGACTTTAACAAAAGCAATAATGTTTAAACTGTACTGAAAAGTAGTCTATTATTGTTCTACACCCATATGATACTACCCTTGGCTTTCATCTTTACTATTACAGGTGTCATCCCAAGAGGACAGCTGAGTCTTGTGGACATCATCCACCAGTACATTCAGTATGATGAGATGCATGAGGCGATTAATGTCCTGAGTAGCATGAACTGGAACACTATGGGCCAACAGTGTTACATAAGCTTGAGTGCTATTGTAAATCACCTTTTTAGAAAAAAGTTGACAGCAGAGAGAGAAGGTTAGAATGTGATTATATTTTATTATAATTATGTTTTATAAGGATTTACATGTTAAAATCCATATGTGAGTTATGATAATATGTATTGACTTTAAAAAATTTTAAAGACTTTACATTTAAAAGTTCCAAACTAGTCAGAAGAGTTACCGTGCTAGTCTATAAACAAGAGTCATTATTATATAGATAGATATTTTCAATAAAATTAGGCATAGATTGCATGCAGATTTTAATTCATATCAGTAATAAGAGAGGTTACACATTTCTAAAATATATTATACAATATGTAATATTAGAAAGAAAGAGAATGAATAATTAAAATATGTACTTCTGTATTACACTCATGTGTAAGGAGTCAGATACTTAACATTTGGAGCCAGCACAGAATTAGAGAGCAGCTTTGTCAAAGGGAGGGCACAAGAGCATTTACTGTTTTACTCGAATGCAAGACGAGGTTTTCCCCCCAATTAGCACGGGGACAAAAGCTCCTTGTCTTACATTCGCATATGAGGAAATCTTATTAAATACATTGTTTATCATTAAACTGCTGCCAAAAGCAGCATGTGCTCATTAATCAAAATGAAGTTGGTTAAATGCAGACAACGCTGAGCATGACTATAAAACACATGGCCCATATTGGGAAAACATATTGATGGGAACCTACCACAATGATAGTTTTTTGGAGAGTGTTTTTATATTTTGTTTCAAGTGCCAAGAAAGTTCCAGATTCAATTGGGCAAAGCCCAATAGTCAAATTCAAAAATTCTGCTGAACAGAGCTCAGTCGTCAAGTCTGTGTGGTTCTACCACTAGGCAAGTATCCTCCTTCCCAGACCCATTGGTCTGGGGCTTGGGATGCTCCCCAAATTGAGGCAAACATCTTACGTGCAAGGCCCAGACCCAGAGGCCTTGGGGTTCAGATGCCCCCAATCACTTGATCTTGATCTTTGTTTGATCTTAGCCAAAAGGATAGGTTGGAAGGCTTTTTACAAAAATATATTTTCTATATATATAAATAAAAATATACATATATGTATACCTCTACACATCTATCTCATGGCTGATATGGTTCACTCTAAACCACACCTTTACAGTTACACCATTCCTATTCTGTTACAGTAACCATACTATACTCTGTGCGTCCACATGCCCATCACCATGCCCTTTACCTGACACAGTCACACAAAGGACTGCCTCAGTACCCCTTTTCTATCCCCCCACCAATTCCCTTCCTGTTTCCCCAGCCCTTTCATTCATTATCTTAAATAGGTTAGTACAGCCCATCTGAAGAAACTGTGCAGTAGCACCCATTGTGCCTTTCTTTCTCATTTCCAGTGATTCTTGTGTCTTCACCAGCCTCAAATGTCTGGCAAACATCACCAAACAGGACCCCAAACAGTTCACCCAGAATCTCCCTGTCACCCCTTCTCTCAGCCTATCTCATACACTTAGAGTGACTCTGCCCTCCATGAGGTGGAGCTGGCCCAGGTTGCTCTGAACCTCATCTGCATCCAAATTTTTGGAGGATCCCAAGACTCATGACAAGAACACCTAGTTCCAGCCATGAGCGGCGGGCCAATTAGCACATGGATCCTTTGTGGCAGGTATCTGGAGTACACGCACATACTGATCAGTGCTGAGCTGTGAGGGCACAATGGCTTGACTTTGGGGTCCAGCCCAAGGATCTGTATGGTAAACCCTGAGCCTTTTGGCTTTGGACTAATATGTTGTATAGTTTGTGGAGTACCTGTGCTAAGATTTGCAGCAGTTTCAAAAAATATAAAATACATCAAGTCTAGCTGAGCTAAATTAAATTACTACAGGCATGTTTATTTTAAAGTCATTACTTTAGGATTTGCTTCTCACTTCCATGTGCTCAGGGACAGCAGGGTCTGACAGTTGTGGCGGGGGGAGGTGCAAGTATCTGCAGGGGGAAGAAGTTGCAGAGCCGGAGGACAGGGATGCCACCTGACTCCCCCAGATCTATTCTTCCTGCTGTAGCAATGAGAGGAGAACAAATTCAAGGCAAACTTCTGATAATTAGATTCCATGACTGGAAAATTATAACAAATTTATAAAGTTTCTATATATAGACTCTTATTTATTGGGGGTCATCTTATATTCAGGGTCATCTTATAGTAACATAAATATGGTAGTTTTGTTTGTAAGTGTTTGCAGAAGGGGCATTCTTGTGGTGTCACATTCAGTGGCTTTCTGTGTTGTGTTTTTCTGCTGCATCCATCAGGAGTGTCACATCTCTACTTACTGTAACCTTCCTATCCAGCACAGTCACTTCTGACATCCTCACATGAAAAGGTGAACTTAAGGCTCAGCCTCATCTCTGCTGGATTCCAGTGAGATATATTCTTACTGAATTGTTGTACACTATGGCGCATAAGAGATTCTAAGATTTAGAGTGTAACAGTTGAGTAGGAAAATGTCATGCCAAGACCCAGCAGGAGTGCAGCCAGGTACAAGGCACATCTTTGATGAGACGAAAGGAGGCCGCTAGTAGAGGTGGTGAGTCGCAGATCACCGAAAAAATGCATGCTATTCAGTTTGCTCTCAGATCATCAGTTAGTTATCCCTGTTCTACATTATGAGATGAATGAGAGATTACCATAATCTTAACTCCACAAATGTACAATATTGAAGTCTTGGGTTAATAAAACACACTTTAAAAAAAATCAGTGAAAAAGGCTGTTCTTAAAGCTATAGTATAAAATGTGTATATTATAAAAAAAAATGTCTGTGTGTTCCTATCCCACTGCCTTAGACTGTTTTAACTTCAAACAGAATTTTATTCTAGACAGGATTTATTCTGTATGACTTGCAAATTTGACATGGTAATTTGTTTTCTTTTTATTAGTGAAACCCAGTGAGCCCTTTTATTTGTAGTGATGGGGCGGTTATCTTTGAGATCTTCATTTCTGCCTTCAACATCAAGCTGGGCTATCTAATGAATCTGTAACAGTGCTAGTAGTTACTTGTATTCCATGTAGGTTGGAACATTTCTGAAGTACAAAACATGCTGTCAAGAAAACAGCAATGGCAAGAGAATATGGCTTGTTTTTGCAATAGCATTGTTGTATTCAATTTTAATCTAAATTGACTGCTGCTTTGAAAGAAAATACCTCTGAAGTCCTCTTATCTTTCTGTCTAGATTTAAGATAATGCAAAACCTAATTTACTAACTGTTTGTCTATGTTCCTAACACTATACTATTAGAGTATTTAGTGCTATCACACCTTACAGAATAAAATGTAACTATGCTTAGACTTAAGAACTAGTATCACTAAATACAGAAATGGCTAGTTAATTAAAACATTAATAATGGCTAGTTAATAAATATTAATAACCACATATTAATGAGATTTTGTCTGCCTGATGAGCAGGGATCCTGGTTTTCTCTGATAAAAAAATCCCCAATTTTCAGTTAAAAAAAAGTAACCCAAAGCCCACACTTTTTCATGATTAAAATGAAACACCACTAATATATCTATTAGACATATAGATCCCTGCTCATCAGGCAGAAAAATCTCATTAATTTGTGTTTATTAATGTTTATTTGAATTAGCCATTTCTGTATTTAGTGATAATAGTTCTTAAATCTAAGCATAGTTACATTTTATTTTGTAAGGTGTGATAGCACTAAATACTCTCATAGTATAGTGTTAGGAACATAGGCAAACTGTTATTAATTTAGGTTTTGCAGTATCTTAAATCTAGACAGAAAGATAAGCTGGACTTCAGAGGTATTTTCTTTCAAAGCAGCAGTCAATTTAGATTAAACTGCTGCCAAAAGCACCATGTGCTCATTAATCAAAACGAATTGTGAAGTTGATTAAATACAGCCAATGCTAAGCGTGGCTATAAAACACATGGCCCATATTGGGCAAACATATAGATATCTATATATTAGTCATGTTTCAGTTTAATTATGGAAAAATGTAGGTTTTGGGTTACTTTTTTTAACTGAAAATTGGGGATTTTTTATCAGAGAAAACCAGGATCCCTCTTTATAACCATCCTTCAGCTATTTGAAGACTTATCAACAACCCCATTCTGCCAATCTTCTTTTCTGTAGACTAAGTAATCCTAGAAAAATAATTCTATAGTTAAGAAAGGAAAATGTATAGCAGGTCAGACCATTTTTAAAGAGAAAACACTTCTGAAAAAAGAGCTTGATTCTCCAGTGGTTTTAAACCAATGTGATGGCACTGACTTCTGTGGAGCTATTCTGAATTGCATCAGTGCAAGATAAAGGAACATCAGGCCCAAGGTTTGCTTTTGATCCTTTTTACAAAAATGAGGAAGTATTTGTTGAGGGGAGTTCCAGAGCCCTTAGGGCCATCACGAGAAAAGCTTAGCTACCTGCTTGCCTCATGCACAATGGTACTACTTGAAAAAGCTATACGCTATAGTTCTTTTCGTATGAGAAAAGAGAAAAGTTAACCAGGATTGATTTTAGTTGGACAAACTTGTTCAAACTCTGTTGCTCTTATGAGTCACTGTTTTAATTATGATTTTCTGGCAGAGCTTTGTTTATTATAGATTTCTTCACTTCTGACAGCTTTCTGTTGCTCAAAATCATTGTCAGCTCTGCCTCAAGTGAAAGTTTATACACAGGTTTGTTTTTGTACCAGCTGTCATATATTAATTTTATCTGTCCTGCAACAAGCTTGCTTTTCATCTGTGTTTGAGAAATCTGACTGATTGCAAACATGAACAACCTGTTGTAATTGAAGCAGTTTCACTTGTTTCATTGCTGCTGTGTTTGAACTCCACAGCACAGCTTGAGGCAAGCCTTGGAACCTTTTATGCTCCAGCAAGGCCCCTGTTGGATATGACTGTCTTGGAATATCGGGATCCAATCAGCAGATATGCAAGAAGGTTCTTCCACCACCTGCTCAGGTGAATGACAACTTCAACTTTTATTAACTGCATATTTCAATACCCACCTACTTTAATGTGGTTAGCATTTTCCAAGAGGACCACCCCTGAAAAAATGCATTAATTGTCACAGTTTATTTAGCTTGCACTTCTTTCCTTTCAAAAAGGGTATTATAAAGTGCTTCTTAGAGATCTTTTACCAACAGTACACTTAAAATGAATTAACCTTCCCTTTTAATTTGATAGAAAGAAGATTGCATACTTTTACAGAGATTTATGGGCAGGCCATCCGTAGATTAGCAATTGGAACAGCTTACAAACTGGGAGGAAGCATTGAGTTTTAATTGATGCTAAAAATGCAAATGAACTGTGTATGGTCCAAGACATTTTTGGCTCCAAGCCTGGGAAATCTGTTGTTTGTTCTTCTCACCTTCACATTTCTCATTTAGGAAATAATATCCCAGGTCATAACCTTAGTGTTAATGCTGTTGCTTAAATAATACAATCTTTGCTACAGTTCAAAACCTGAAAAAGAGCTTCAGCCACTAAAATAAAAAGAAATGTTGCTGTGACTTGTAATTCACACAATGACTTTGAAAACATATGAAAACCAAATTCAACTCAATATTCTGTAACCTTAATAATAGTCTTGAAAGTTTTCATCAATCATCAGTTAAATAGTCCTGACTGTTTTTTAATTTCTTCAAATATTACATTATATCAGGTGACCCCCTGCAAACGTATTCACAAATAAAATTTATATTTTATTCAGTATTTTGCTTAGACACCTGTTAGTAGTTGAAGCAAGTCATCCATTGTCAAGGCTAAAATTTGTATCTTAAAGAGTATTAAAAATATTTTGAGCAAGTAGGAGAGTAAGATTCACATACTTAAATGTGAAAGCACCAATTTGTCTTAGAATTATATAATTTTCCTGCAAAAATTATGAATTGTCATATTATTTTGGAAGTGAAATGTATCTTATTTTGGATCTTAGTGAGAAATATGTAATATTTCCTTTAAAATGAGGAGTATGAAAAAGAATAGTCTTTAAGCTCACCTGGTATACAAGAAAGCATTGCTACATTTTTTTTGTTTAAATGTTGTCAGGTTTGCACTAGAGAATGCTGTTTTAAACAACTGGATATTGTTATTAGAAATGGTTATGCTATTGCACACAAGTTGTGCCTTTGCTTCCTCTAAAGAGCAGTAAGAAGGCGGCATTATGATAGTGGCCAAACAGGAGTGCTTTGGGCCATTTTGCCTGCATGATACAGATGCAGAAAGAATGCCTCTGAGCTTACTGAAAGGTGTGAATATAGTTTAAATCTGCTTGTGAAAGATTTAGACTCTGACTCAGAAACTTGCTTCCAAAAGTTATCAGGCATGCAGAGGCATGGGGCCCTGGCTAAGACTCAACCCTTGAGGCTGTTGAGTGTGGCTTGGTGCACTGAGCCAACACTCCTTCCCTCTACCAGCATTTGGGAAGCTTTAGTGTCAGTTTGTTGCCTGGGTGGGGAAGGGGAAGGACTGGAGTCTCCAAGTGTATTCAGCCTCCCTCACAAGACAAGGCAGGATGCAGTCCTAAAGTGATCCTAATACAATAGCAGTCTGTGAAACAACTGCACGTTGTTTTGTTGTCTCCCAGTTGTCAATAGCCTTTGTATTCAACTGAATCAAAGTGATATGATCATGTGCTTGCTGCAGAGCAGATGGTAATGCTTAAAGCTTATCTGGGAAGACATAATCTAGGTACAAAATGAAATGTTTAAAAATGGGTGCTTTATCTGATAGAAACCAACAAGCTCTGGTGTCCAGAGCTGATTTTTATTTTATTAAAGTGCTTCTTTCTTAATTGGTGATTATTTCCCACTTTCTTTTAGATGTTTTATTACATGGCTAGAAATCATTTGAATGTAGGCTCAACCAAAAGTGTATTGGGGATTTAAAGAAACTCTGTTAAAAACCAACTTGATCACTGAGGATTTAGGAGTATGTCCCACTTCTGCAGGGGGCATATCAGGACAATGCCTTTTAATCCTTACAGGCACAAAGAGGCCAACCACCCCGCTTCCCACCTCCCACTGTATCATTTTAAGGTGCAGCTTATTTTAAATATTTTCAGGTTTGCTGTAAGTGTTTAATGGATGTGTTTGCAATGTTGTTCTATTACTGAAATTATGTGTTATGAGTGGCCAAACATAGCAATCAAAGGAGCATGACAATGCTGATGTGTTGCAAACCATCCACCTTCGCACTTTCTGTGCCAGCCTAAGCCATTGCAAGGGGTATTTGGTTGTTCTTAGATGAGCATAAAAGGGTAAAAGTGAAGCTGAGCACTATGCATGATTTAAGACTCTGGAGACTATGAGGATCTGCTCCTCCAGCAAGAACTATAGAAAACACAGTGCTTCCCAGAGTGCTCAGATATGCAGTATAGGCATAGTCAACGTCTTGATCCCATCCTTCCTGAGACATTATAGGGTCCATAGCAACTCCTATGGGCTTCAGAAAGGCTAAGTGAGAAGTGTGTGCATCTGCACGTGTGTGTGTGTGTGTGATGCAAAAGCAGGAAGCAAATACAGAAAGTAGGAAAACAGCAAATAACTGGGAAGCAGGGGAGGGTTAGAATTAGTAATTCAGGTAGAAAGTGTCAGGGATGGGGACATGAGGAAAAGACAAGAACAAAGTGCAGCAGACTAGGGCAGATGAGGATGGAGGTGCATCCACAGGCTTCAAAGGGCATAGAAGAAGCAGAGAAAGAACTGAGGAGAACAGAGGAAGGATGGAAGCCACCATGGGTGGTATAGTGTATATTCATGGGACCAGCAGAGGCACATGGACACAAGGACAGCCTTTTTTGCACAATAAAAGCCTGAAGCACTTTAAACATTTCTGCGTATAAAACTGAATGTCATTCTTGTAAACAAAGCCTCCCCCACTACAGCTTTCCTTTGATTGCCCCACCAGTTTGCCTCAAGCTTTTTCTGAAGGGACCTGCTGTCTTTGGAGAGAGCATAGTTCAGTCTACATGCTGAGGCAACTCTGGGCTGCCTGCTAAGTCTGACAAAAAGGTGCCAGTTAGTATAATAGATTTTTATTTATGAATGCCTTCTTTAACTGGAATCTTGATTGGAATCACCCTTTTCCACCAAACAGCCCACACAGTGATAATGAATTTGCATCACTCTTGGCATACACCATAATGCAGTGCTGCGCTTAGACACCCTATGCTCATATTCACTAGGTTTGACACTGGAAGCAGTATAGTCAAAGAATCATAGAAAATTAGGGTTGGAAGGGAAAGAGGTCATCTAGTCCAGCTCCCTGCTCAAAGCAAGACTATCCCCAACTATATTATCCCAGCCAAGGCTTTGTCTAGGCAGGTCTTTAAAACCTCTAAGGATAGAGATTCCACTCTCTGGGTAGCCTGCCCCAGTGCTTTACTACCCTCCTAGTGAGAGAGTTTTTCTTAATATCTAACCTCAACTTCCCTTGCTGTGACTTGAGATCATTGTTCCTCCTTCTGTCATCTGCCAACACTAAGAACAGTTTAGCTCCATCCTGTTTGGAACCACCCGTCAGGTAGTTGAAGGCTATTATTAAATCCTCCCTTAGTCTTCCCTTCTTCAGATGAAATAAGTTCAGTTCCCTCTGCCTCTTTTCCTAAGTCATGTTCCCCAGCCCTCTAACCATTTTTGTTGCCCTCTGCTGGATTCTCTCCAATTTGTACACATTTTTGTTGTAGTGGGGAGCCCAAAACTGAACACAGTACTCTAGATGTGGCCTCACCAGTGTCAGATAGAGGTGAATAATCACTTCCCTTGATCTGCTGGCAACGCACTTACCAGTGCAGCCCCGTATGCCATCAGCGTTCTTGGCAACAAGGACACACTGTTGACTCATATTCAGCTTATTGACCACTGTAATCCCCAGGTCCTTTTCTGTGGAGCTGCTGCTTAACCAGTGAGTCCCCAGTCTGTACTAATGCACAGGATTGTTCCATCATAAGTGCAGGACTTTGTATTTGTCCTTATTGAACTTCATGACATTTCGTTTGGTCCAATCCTCCAATTTATCTAGGTCTCTCTGAATCTTAGCCCTACCCTCCAGTGTATCTACTGCTCCACTCAGCTTGGTGCCATCTGCAGACTTGCAGACATCCACTCCATCTCCTCTTCCAGATCATTTATTAGAAAATGTTAAGACTCATAGAAGAAAAATGACAAACCCATAAGGGAAATACAATGTGCCTGAGTGAGGGACTAACATAAGTGGGGTGGGGGTGAGGAGGAGAATGCATCTAGGTTACATAATTACGATGTTAGTCAGCTAAGTCTGGGGGTGGGAGGTAACGTGGGGAAAGGGGAGGGAGGGGGGTCGCAACACTGAGAGAGAAAGAGAGATGCAAACAAACCCATACAAAAATTGAACACAACCAGCCCCAGAACCAACCCCTGGGGCACTCCACTTGATAACAGCTATCAAGTAGACATTGAGCTATTGATTGCTACCCTTTGAGCCCAATGGTCCAAACAGTTTTCTATCCACCTTACAGTCCATTCATCCAACCCATGCTTCCTTAGCTTGCTGGGAAGAATGCTGTGGGTAACCACATCAATAGCCTTGCTGAAATCAACATATATCACATCCACTGCTCTCCCTGCATCCACAGAGCCAGTCTTCTCATCATAGAAGGCAATCGGGTTGATCAGGCTTGACTTGCCCTTGTTGAATCCATGCTGACTATTTCTAATCCCTTTCTTCTCTATGTGCTTAGAAATAGATTCCTTTAGGACCTGCTTAATGATTTTTCCAGGGACTGAATTGAGGCTGACCAGTCTGTAGTTCCCCAGATCCAACTTCTTCCCTTTCCCTTAAAGATGGGCACTGTATTTGTCCTTTTCCAATCATCCAGGACCTCACCAGATTGCCATGAGTTTTCAAAGGTAAAGGCCAATGGCTCTGCAATCACATTGCTGAACTGCCTCAGCATCTTTGGGTGCATCGCATCCAGACCC